AAATAATAAAATCAATTAATAAAATGGCAATAAGTACATGTCGATCAATAACTACTTTCAATGTAAACAGACTAAATGTTCCAATCAAAAGATATAGACTGTATGAATGGATAAAAAGTACAAGACCCATCTATATACTGCCTACAAGAGACTCACTTCAGATCTAAAGACATACATAGATTGAAAGTGAAGGAATGGAGAAGATATTCCATGTGAGGGGAAAAAAAGAAAGCTGGAATAGCAATATTGACATCAAATAGAATAAGCTTTAAAACAAAGACTGTAACAAAATACCAAAAAAAAAGGTTTCTAACTCATAGGTCAATCTAAGAAGAGGATATAACATTTGTAAATATTTACTCAATAATCATAGGAGCCCCTAAATATATAAAGCAAATATTAATAGACAAAGAGGAAGAAATTGACAACATTACATCAATAGTGGGGGACTTGAATACTCCACTTACACCATGAATGGATCATCCACACAGAAAATCAATAAGGAAACATTGGGCCTAAAGGAAATATTAGCAGACATGGACTTGATATAGATAAAACATTTGATTAAAAAACTACAGAACACACATTCTTTTCAAGTGCACATGTAATATTCTCCAGGATATATCACATATTAGACCACTAAACAATAAATTCAAGAAGACAAATCATATCAAGCCTGTTTTCTGAACATAACCATATGAAACTAGAAATCAATTCAAAGAAGAAAACTAGGGGAAATCCCCACAAACACATGGAGATTAAAGAACATCCTGCTAAACAAGCAATGTGTAAATGAAGAAATCAAAGAGAAAGCAAAAAAACCTTCAGACAAATGGAAGCAAAACTTTCCAAATCTATGGGATGCAGCAAAAGGAGTTCTAAAAGTAAAGTCCATAACTATACCTGCCTACCTCCATAAAATCATAAATAAAGAATTTAACTTTACACCTAAAGGAACTAGAAAAAGAAGAAAAAACAAAATCTAGTTAGTACAATAAAGGAGATAATAAAGATCAGAGTGAAAATAAATGAAGTAGAGATAAAAATAGAAAAGATGAATAAAACTAAAAGCTGGCCCTTTGAAAAGAAAAAAAATTAATAAACCTTTAGCTAGATTTATCAAGAAAAAAAAAGGCCCAAATAAATTAAATCAGAAATAAAACAGAAGTCACAAATAAGACCAAAGAAATAGTACAATTATATGCCAACAAATAGAAAACCTAAGAAAAAATGGTTAAATTACAAGACATACACAACCTTCCAAGCCTAGACCATGAAGAAATAAAAAATCTGAAAACACCAATTACAAGTATAAAGTTAAATCACCAATTTTAAAACTGCTAAACAACAAAAATCCATGACCAGATGGCATCACAGGTGAATTCTACCAAACGTATAAAGAAGATTTAATACCACCTCCTCAAATTATTCCAAAAAATTAAGAGAAAGGCATATTTCCACATTTATTTAAGAGGCCAGCATTAACCAATATCAAAATTAGAGACACCACAAAAAAAAACAAAATTAAAAACCAATATCTCTGATGAACATGGATATAAAAATCCTTGACAAAATATTAGCAAACCAAATTCAATAATACTTAAAAGGATCATATACCATAATCAGGGGGAATTTATTCTAGATACTTGAGGGTGGTTAAATGTGGTACACCAAATTAACAAAAAAAGGATAAAAGACATCATTTCAACAGATACAGAAAAATCATTTAACAAAATTCAACATCTATTTATGATAAAAATGATCAACAAACTAGGTATAGAAATAATGTACCTCAATATAATAAATATATTACCACCGCTCCCCCAGCTAACATTATATTCAATGGTGAAAAACTGAAAGCATTTCCTCTAAGATCAGGAACAAGAAAAGGATGCCCTTTTATTTGGTGTAGTATTGAAAGACCTAGCCATAGTAATTAAGCAAGGGAAAAAATATAATAAAATGCACCCAAATTAGAATGGAAGAAGTAAAATTGTCACTGTTTGCAGATGACATGGTACTGTGTATGTAGAAAACCCTAAATACTCTACCAAAACAACTATTAGAAATAATAAATGAATTCAGTAAAGTCACAGGATACAAAATTAATATATAGAAATAGGTTATGTTTCTATACACTAATAATGAGCTATCAGAAACAGAAATTAAGAAAACTGTCCCATGTACAATTGCATCAAAAATTAAAACAACTAGGGCTAAATTAAACCAAGGAGGTAAAAGACCTATATTTTGAAAACTATAAGACATTGATGAGAGAAATTGAAAACAACACAAATAAATGAAAAGGTACACTGTGCCCATGGAAGAATTAATACTGTTAAAATGTTCAAACTAACCAAAATAATCTTCCCTACAGATTCAAAGCAATTACCATCAAAATAACAATGGCATTTTTCACAGAACTAAAACAAAGAATCCTAAAATTATAAAGAACAACAAAAGACCCAGAAGAGTCAAAGCAACCTTGAGAAAAACAAAGCTGAGGTATTGTGCTTCCTGATTTGAAACTATACTACAAAGCTATAGTAATCAAAATAATATGGTACTGGCATGAAAAACAGACACATATATCAATAGAATAAAATTGAGAGCCAGAAATAAACCCACATATATATGGTCAATTAATCTATGATAAAGGGACAAGAATATACAATGGGGAAAAAACAGTTTCTTTAATAAATTGTGTCGGGAAACTAAACAGCTACATGTAAAAGAATGAAACTAGACCACTATCTTACACCACATACAAAAATGTATTAAAACTAGATGAAAGGCTTGAATACATGATCTGAAACCATAAAGCTCCTAGAAAAAAACATAGGGAATAAACTCTCTAACATCAGTCTTAGCACTAATTTTGGTTCAGCCTCCTTAGGCAAAGGTATTGTAAGTCAAGTGGGATTACACTAAAATGAAATGCTTTTACACAAAAAATGAAATCGTCAACAAAATGAAAATAAAACCTATTGAATGGGAGAAAATACTTGCAAACCATACATCTGATAAGAGCATAATATCCAAAATATATAAAGAAAGTACACAATTTAATATAAAAACTCAATTAAAACTGGGCAAAGGACTTGAATTAATATTGTTAAAATGTCTACGGTGCACACCTGAAACTAACAAGATATGTTGACTTGGGGCAGTGAATACACAAAGCAGTGTACAGATGTATTGTAGAACTGTGCACCTGAAACCTGTGTAATTTTGTTAGCCAGAGTCACCTAAATAAATTCAATAAAAAGGAAAACAAATTTATTGGGTATAAGCAAGACCCTATAATATAAAGCTAAGAAATTGAGCTGGACAGCTACTATACACAGGAAGTTTGCTAATTTTTAATTGAACCATTTTCAGTCGTGATGTAGTGTGATCCATTATTGAATCTAGTGTTTTTCTAAAAAATAATATACTATATTTAATTTTATACAGTCTTTTAGGCTCTAGTTACATATTTTAAACTGTAATAACCACTTCACAGATGTTGCATGAAACTTAAAGAAAGGCTTACCTTTCTTGTTTTATTTTTACTGAATATTATAATTCAAGATATCTTTCTATACTTAGTTTTCATATGTATTATAATATATGCATTCCTATCAGCACCAGCAACCAAATAAAAAATTTTAAATTAATCAAACTGCCATTAAAATTTGGACAACATCCCCTGGAAGCCTACTCTTGCTACAGACAGCAGTTGCAGTGTAACAAAAGGAACATGAGGCTAAAGTCAGAGCCCCCTAGATGGAGCCTGGGCCATTAGTATTTCAGAACTTCTATTTTCTCATGAAAAATGGGAATGACACTTCATGAGGCTATTCTGAAGGTTAAATTAAATATCTCATTTTTCTAATACAATAGTCTCTCACTTTTGTGATTGAAAACACATCTTATCTGTTTTCTTTTTTTATTCCATCTCTACAATATAATTATGACATTAAACTCTCCCTTAAATCTTTCCACTTCACAAAAAAATTCCACATACACATGCAACTGCTTTTATTTCTCCTCCAAAGTAGGAATTTTTTAAAAAAAATTGTCTGAGTCCTTGCTTTGCTTTTATTTTAAAAATGTCCATTAATAATTCAGTTATACTCTTTCAAAACTCATTTTTGTGTTTTTTGTATTATTTTGTTTTTACTAATTTTTTTTTGCTTTCCAGACCAGAACATACTTTCTTTACCTCTATTTCTAGAGTAACAGTAAGATGCTTCCTAAATATCAGTACTTGTGTTATACAGCCATCAAAGGCTTCTAATACAAATCATTCACCCCAAGGGCTAGTCATAGTATTAAGTTACAAACTAATCTCAATTGCATCACCTGGTATACTCTGGAATTTATAAATTATCATTCCTTTCTGTTCTTTTCTAAACTAACATTTTTTCCAATTTACTAAATGAAATGTTTTCATATCACTATTTCATGCATTTTTTAAAATTTTTATTCATTGATTTTAGAAAGGAAGGGGGAAAGAGAGAAACAGAGAGAGAGACATCAACTTGTTGTTCTACCTATTTACACATTCATTGGTTGATTCCCGCATGTGCCCTGCTGGGATGCAACCTGCAATCTTGGTGTATGGGAACAACTGTATAACTTACCTGGCCAGGGCCTGTTTCATGTGCTTTAATATTGAAAAAATTCGATCTCTAACTTCATTATTTTTTCCTTAAATTTTCTAATAGTGACATTCTAATTAAATACAATAGTGAAAAACAACAAATACTAAATGGAAGTCAGAATACCTAGATTCTTGTTCCAGACTTGCTATTGGACCAGTTTAACCATATTTTTCTGAGATTCAACTTGTTTTATCTTAAGTAAGGGGATAAGAAAAGTTATTTTTACAGCCTTATATGCTGATCATGAGAATTTTCTGAAGGTCACATATGTATAAAATTATAAGGAAAAGGTAATAAACAAATTCGCTGTAGCCATAAGAGTGATATAGGCTAAGGGGAAAAAGGATATACCTGCAATTTCTTCTAAAGTATTGGCATGCATGTCCAGCAACACGGTTCCATTCAGAATACAACTTCTCAACTCAAACAAGCTGTGCAATGACAGAGTGGCCACATATGGTTTGCTCCACCTCTCTCCCCCATCCTCCACATCTTCTTCAAACTTCAACCACCTGTACAAATAAACATTATCAGAACACTGAATATTATGTTGTAGATCAATGATGCTTTATGCCAATAATAAAAAGTACAAATATAAAGATGTTCACATTGCTTCTTAATTTCATGGGTTTTGGATGTAAGTAAAAGCTAGACCAAGTCATTCAGTTTATATTATTTTAATGTAATTTAACAAGCATTCTTTTTGTCATTGAATAACATATTGAAACAAAAAACTCATATTATTTTCTTTAGTTTGTCTAGCTCTGAAAAAATATTTTAATATGTTCCCTCAGTGGTCACAATGAATCTGTTATGGAACTAAGAAAGAGTATATATATACTTCATGAAAAACAATGGTAATTGGAGAAGATGCAAAAGAAAATAATACTCATTCATCTTTAGTGAGAGGTATTAAAACTGACTATTTGGGTCTCTTGATAATTTTTCCATTCAATTAAAGAATCTAGTATAATTTGGGGCCTATTCTATAGGAAAATACTTATTAGGCCTGTTTGGATAAAATCTAATGACTATAGTCACCTCATAGGTACTAAACTTAACAAGATCTGAGAGTCCTCATTCCCTAGGCCTTTCTGCCAGGAATGGGGAATAGAAGAACCTTGATATCATGGGGCCAAATGGTACACCACTGCCCACTTGCAGTGAAATAAACAGTAATATCCGAGATTGTTTCTCAATATAAATGGAAGTAATAAAGAGAAGCCAATAATTTTACTGCTTTGGCACAAGCACCAAAGCTCTTCTTCTTTTTGGGACTTGCTGCCTAGTCCTAGTAGATAACTAATTTAATTCCAACATCTATAATGAATATGACCATAAATTGTCCTTCCTTCCTCATCCTCCACCATTTTCCTCATTCTTTTTCTACTTATTTTGCCCTAACTTCCTCTCTCAATGCAATATCACTCAGATTTTCTATATGATATTATATTACTGTTTTATGTAACCAAATGATCCTACTCTAACAGAGGACAAATATGTTGCAGTATCTATTTAGGGAAGCAGTGGATCAGCCAAAGATAACCAACCAAAAAGGCTAGTCAGAATGATCAATGTGCAGAGTTCCAAGAAAAATAAAGACAACTATGTATCTTTCCTCACTGTTCAGGGAGCAAAAAGTTTGTGGGAAGTGAAAAAAAAAACAATTGGGAAGACTAGCTTACAGATAGAGAAGAATAACTATGCCTATCATAAGTTTATAAAATCCTTGAAGGTTAAAAAAATTTACATTTAAGCCCCAAATCACTGACAGTATCTCTAAAATTGCTGGCAGTTTTATAGGATATTTTATTTACATAGTTAAAAGTTTTTCATATTAGTTATTTTTAATATTTTCAGATCTTAACAGGGCAATAATACTTCATAAATCATATGATGGTCATAGCATAGTAGTATCATTGATAAACTATAATTGGTTCTCTTTACAGCAAAGAATAGGATATTACTACCTACCTCCCATCTAACTGGGTGAGGACATGTGCCTGTTGACTAGTTCTGGACATCAGTAATTTTCAAGATGGAGGCTGCTCTACCAGCTGGGTCTCTAAGTAGCTACAATGAGCAGATGTGTAGTTTCCACTAATCCATGATGAACATGTGTCATGAGACATGAGAAAGCCTTTGCAATTTTAAGCTGTGGAGACTGCAGGGTATTTTTTAAACATAATTTAGGCTATCTTAAACTGATACAGATTACCATTTAAGCTATTTATACCAACCTCAAATCATAATTATAATGATGATGACGGCAATAACAATTTTAACTAAATATAATAAATTAGTATTTCTCACCAGGTTTAGAAGTAAAGCCATGGTTACATTATTAATGTTAATATCTCAGAGGAGAAGAGAAGGTAATGTGAAAATCTTGGACTAGTTGAGAATAAAAAGAAATCTAGGTTTTGTCCCTACCCCCAGCTAAACTGCCCTGTGGCCAAGGGAAAGTCTTTGAGTTTCCGTAGGCCATGTTTTTCTCATCTATAAAATAAGACAAATTCAACACATTAAAATCTTGCCCAAGATCCCCAAGCCAGTGATCTTGTCAACCAGATTCAATTCCAAGTTGTTCTTCTCCAGAGTCTGTGCCCATTTTCCACTATAATACAATTACTTTGGTTGAATTTATGGACTTTCGCAGCTGAAATATATTTTGCTAATGTCTATAGTGGAAATAATTGATTTAACATTTGATTTTCATCCTTGTCTGGAACAAATCTCAGGTTAAAAGTTTTTCTGTTCTATCCTTTTTTACATTATCTATAGACATGGCACCAAGAGAGTGGATACAACTTTTATTAACCCTCTTATCACTTTGTATACTATTCACATCTGATGCTGGTTTTAGACAAAAAAAAAAGAGGCAAAAGAAGGGAGTCTATAGAAGAGCTGTTATTATGCTGTTATTTGGACTGAAGAAACATGTTTGATTTGATGTTTTCAGTCCTTTGAGTAATAAAGAAGACAGGGTTATGAAAGGGTGTAAAGGGACTATAGATTTCTCACAACTAAAAAATGTCTTCAATTAATGTTTCCAGAAATATAGTACTTTCTGTCATCCCTACCTATAAAATTGTTTCTAAAACATTGTATTTAAAAATTTTACTCAAGTAAGAACCTCTGAAACATTTTTATATTACTAAAAAGTTATACTGTTTCTTAATTATTCAAGTATAAATCTATAAACTAATCCACACAATAATATTGTTTGTGAGTTTTGATAACACTAATAATAAATTCACTTCTAAAGTACTCATGCATTTCTGGACCTATATAGACTATGAAATACTTTCTTATAAGGAAAATTATAGTTAAATTTTATACTTCTTTATAGGAAAATTTTATACTTCTAGATAACAGTGAAGATGATTAAATAAGTAATAAAACACCCAACTTATTTTATCTTGGCTCCTTTGAAAGTAAAAATTTAAATTTTTTTTAAATGGAGTTTTCTTCTTTTTTAAGATTTTATTTATTTATTTCTAGAGAGGGAAGGGAGGGAGAAAGAGAGACAGAGAGAAACATCAATGTGCGGTTGCTGGGGGTCATGGCCTGCAACCTAGGCATGTACCCTGACTGGGAATCGAACCTGCTACACTTTGGTTTGCAGCCCGCGCTCAATCCACTGAGCTATGCCAGCCAGGGCTATAATTTAAATTTTAAGAACCCTGGAAAAAATTGTGTGGGGGTTGTGTGTGAGGGTATAGTCCCGTGCATTTTTGTCTCACAATGGAGATACAAAATTGTTCTATCACCACAAAGGATCATCACAAGGATAGAACAAAACTGTTCCCTCATCACAAAGGATCTTGCTCATGTTCACCTTTATATTCTCACCCCTCACCATGCTTCTGTCGCGTCAGTCACTAATCTGTTTCTCATCACTATATTGTTGTCATTTTAAAGATATTATATAAATTGAATTACATGGTGTTCAATCTTTTGGGACTTTTTTCACTAAGCATATGCCTTTGAGATTCATCTAACTTGTATATACCAGCTGTTTGTTACTTTTTATTGCTGAGCTGTATTCCATTGCATGGATGGATATACCAGACTTTAACCACTCCTCCATTGAAGGGTATTTGGATTGTTTATGGGTTGTTGTTATCACAAATAAAGACCCTAAAAACATTCATGCAGAGGTTTTTGTGTGAGCATAAGTTTTAATTTCTCTGGATTAAATGCCCAAGACTGTGACTGCTGGGTCATATAGTAAACATCTGTTAAGTTTTATTTTTTTAACTGTCAAACTGTTTTCTAGAGTAGCTATACCATTTTACATTCATACCAGCAATGGATGAGAGGTCTAGTATCTCCACATTCTCATCATTTGCTTTATGATGACTTTTTTAAATTAGCTATTCTATTAGGTGTGAGGTGATATTTCATAGTGGTTTTATTTTGCATTAACTTAATGACTAATGATGTTGAACATCTTTTTGTGTGGTTATTTTTCATTGTATCTCCTGTTTGGTGAAATATCTGTTTATGTTTTGCCTATTTTTCTAATTAACTGTTTTAATACTGCTTAAATTTGAGAGTTCTTTCTATATTCTCTATATAATATTTTTGTCAAATATGTGTTTTACAAATATTTGTTCTCTGTAGCTTGTTTTTCATCATCTTATTAGGGTTTCTCACAGCATAAAAGTTTTTAGAGTAAAGTCAATTTATGGATATTTTCTTTTATGGATTGTGCTTTTGGTATCATGCCCAAAAACTCATCTAGCCCCAAGTCCTGAAGATTTTCTCCTATGCGTTCTCTAAAATTTTCATAGCTTTACATTTTACATTTATACTTATGATTTACTTTCAATTAAATTTTGTATTCACTGCAAGGTTTACATTGAGGTTAATAATTTTTTGCCTATAGATGTATAATTGTTCCAGTACCATTTGTTGAAAAGACAATTCTTCTATTTAATAGCTCCCTTTGTCACAATTCAGCAGTATTTTTGAATTGGATTTTCTCAGTTCCTTATTCTTCTGCATCAGTCTACATGTCTATCTAAAAAGGCATTTTAAAAACAAATCCATGTTGTCCCATTTGTTTATTCTTTCCTTTATATCCCTTATCCTAGGGAATGTGTCAGTGAAAATATTGCTGCATGGGATATCTGAAAATTTCCTGCCTATGTTCTCCTCTAGGACCTTTATGGTGTCAATGACTTATATATGTCTTTTATCCATTTTGAGTTTATTTTGGTGTATGGTATAAGTTGGTGATGTTGTTTCATTTTTTTGCATATACTTGTCCAGATCTCCCAACACCACTTGTGTAAGAGGGTATTTTTATTCCATTTTATGTTCCTGCCTTCTTTGTCAAATATTAATTGCCCATAAACACATGAATTTATTCTGGGCTCTCTATTCTGTTCAATTGGTCTATGTGTCTGTTCTTAGGCTGTTGTAATCAAACCACACTGTTTTGATTACAGTGGTCTTGTAATATAGTTTGATATCAGGTACTGTGATCTCTCTCACTTTGTTC